CTTGAGTGCATCATTCTCAAGTTACTGCTGCCAGCATGTTTCCTGTAGCATTATAAAAGGTACTATATTAACTGAAGCATTCCTAGGTTACTACCACTGTCGTACAAAATATAAATAAATTGCATTTCCTATTTTTGTATTCCATTCCAAAACAATTTTTCTGTAATCCAAGGAATGGCTAAGAGTTAAGGAAGCCTTCCACATGTTTCAAATCCCATGCATTCTGCTGTATGAGTTTTACTACCACAACATGCCATAGATGATTTGGAGACAGAATTGCTTCAGTACAAATCAAACCAAAGAGGATAATCCAAGAATCATAGCAATAGTTTTGACAGCAAAAATATTTACAAAAAAGCTGTACTCTGCAGTAGATGCAAGCAACAGACAGAACTAATGTGAGGGCAAAATACTGAATCCATTGAAATTTCATTTTGAATTCTAACATCACTTACATTATAATTACTTTATGCTAGTGAGCTATATGGTCACTAAAACATATGCACTGCAATTAATAGAGATAAAACTGATGATTTCAGAGAAATAATCAACAACAAAAGGACAACTGAAGAGTTTTAACTCTTTACAAAAAAGCAGCCACAAAGAAAAGTCTAGTAGCTTTCACCATTCTGAAGGTTTACGTTCTCTCTGACACACAAGTACACACTCAAGTTGCCTCCTTTAATTTTGTTTCTGCCACTCCACACATCACCATTTTCTTCAGCAGAACTATGCCTTGCACAATAACCTTACAATAAAACAAGAAGAAATGAAGAGCAGCTGCTTCCCTGCAAAACTCACCGAAATGCTTTTATCTGGGAAATGCAGAGGACAAGAATGAATGTAATCACGTTTTACACTGCAGTGCCAAAGTTATTACCTTACTAACCTTGTAGGCGCATATTATAAAAATCATCCATTTATGTTATAGGGAATTACTTAGCACTGGGAACACAATACCCGAAATGAATTTCAAGTGGCAAGAGCATCATTAATCATACTTCCTCAACATTAATGCCATGGAACAAAGCCTTCTGCTTCACTGCTTGAAAGCACAGGTGTTTTAGGAAGAAACCGTTTAACAGATGGTGCTATGCATGCCATACCTGAATAGAGGTTCTTGGAATATACAGCATATACAAACCAAAAGACTACGTTTGACAAACGTTTTGTTTTAAAAGACAAATCATCACAAATATTAGTAAAAACGAAAGCAACGCCATCAATATTTCTAGCAGTTTCAAACATTAATCCCAAGAAGAGAGAGGAATAAACAAAAACCACATCAAAATTAGAAAAAGCCAGTGAAGTCAAAGTGCTCAGCCCCCGAAATCTAGAAAATTGACTTGCAGGCATCCAAACAAATTAACAAGGTCATACTGCAACATATAACTGTGCTCTTAAGTTAAAGTTAAGCAAGCTAAAAAGAAACACATGCTATTAAAATTGTATTGTAACACATGCCAGTAAAATTGTACATAAAACTGCACATCCTGTTAAAATGGTATTTATCAGGACTAGAATCTGAATTTCTTAGAGTATCGGAGTCTATTTTTTTATTTAATTTCATTTGCAGAAAGTTTAATCTTATATCACATTCTCACAAAATATTTTCACAAAAGCAACTTACTGCAGTGGATTTATAATACGAAGACCAACCAAGCTGTAACTTCAACTGATAACCGGAGGGTGGGGGAAATCATGGCTGTTTAGATCTGACAGCCCTTCTGCAAGACTGCTGTCAGGCTCTGATTGTAATGTACAGCCATTGCCAACAAAAATAATTGCAGATCTTTGCAAAGTACTCTTTAAACTGACAATGAAAGAACTCGTGTAAAATGGGACTGTTTACGTTCAGAAGCGTTTGTTGATCTGCAAATAAGTTATGTTTAACAAGCACTAAAACCTAAAACATTCTTTCAAGAGTAACACTGTAACTGTAAGATATTAAGATAAAAAAAGACACACACAAACCTAGAATCCATAAGATGGTTTGAATTGGAAGAGACTTTCAAGATCACTTAGCTCCTAGGTTCTGCCACGGACAGGGACACCTCCCTCTAGACCAGGTTGCTCAAAGCCCCATCCAGCCTGCCCTTAAGCCCTCCAGGGAGGAGGCATCCACAACCTCTCTGGGCAGCCTGTGCCAGTGTCTCACCACCATCATAGTGAAGAATTTCTTCCTTATAATTAATGCACAGCTACCCTCTTCTGGTTTAAAGCCTCGCCTCACTGAGGAGCACGAAGCCCCACTGCCAGCACCTTGCTAAGCACACATAATAGACAGGTTTAGTCATGACTACTACTGTTATTTTAATAACCAAATACAGCATTTCATGTGCTCAACCTAAAAACATTATCTATAAAAAGGATTTTCTGTTCAACCATGCAGGAAGACAGTCTATATCTGACACTAAGTACTAAGTAGTACTACAAGAAAAGCAGTTCAAAAAGCCTTAAATGCATTTTCAAAGATAATGTCACTTCTGGGGATGAGACATGGCATGGCAGCTCTCGGTAAATGCTGCAACACCTCCACCACGTGGGAGATACCAGCAATCCCCTACAGCCAGTTCAGCTCACTACAGGAGGCTGAAACTGCAGAGGCCAAAGGTTGCTCAGTGTAAACTCTAGTCCAAACAAGTTACAAAACTGCCAAAGCAGCACTAAGTCAAACCAATGACTCAAAAGCCTCTTCTTTTACCTTTTGTGCCACTTCTGTACTTTTTTTTTTTTTTTTTTTTAAACCACCTTTCATTGTGCAGTATTGAATTTAACACATCTGAGATACTGGTCTGATATTCCGAGCATCAGCCCTAACCCACACCTTCACTGAAGAATCTCCTGATTTCAAGAAATCAGAGGTTAAAGCAATTATCCACAAAAAAGGACACTTAACGCTATTAATAATTTCAAAACCCAAGTTCTCTACATCACTATAAATGAAATTAACATCAAATGCAACATAACATTACTGCAGAAAAGTGCATTTGCTTAAACTCAGTAAAACTCTCATGAATAAAATACAATCCAATTTGAATTAATAAAAGTTTGCTTTATGTTATAAAAAAAAAAAATGTAGAGCTAATCTAAAACATACAACAGAAAATATTTATGCTTTCTACAGTTAGTCATTATTAGACACAAAATTATTTACCAATGAATGGGTGAGAGAAAACAGAAAGAAGGTCCTTACATTATTGATTTTGCACAAATAATGAACTTGAGTTGCATGTACAACTGCCAAGGAGGCTCTCAGGAGTATTAACTCCCCCTGTGACAGAGCTTTGAAGAACAGATGCATAACTGAAACACTAAACGTGTTTTTAAAAAGGATGAAACACACATGACTGCTTCACAGGGCTGACAAGTAAGCAAGTGAAGCATAAATGTGACCAAAATTAATTTGTGCCAGTGACAAAGGCATAGAATCACAGAATGGCCTGGGTTGAAAAGGACCACAATGATCATCTTGTTTCAACCCCCTGCTACCTGCACCAGACCAGGCTGCCCAGAGCCACATCCAGCCTGGCCTTGATGCCTCCACAGATGGGGCATCCACAACCTCCTTGGGCAACCTGTTCCAGTGCGTCACCACCCTCTGTGTGAAAACCTTCCTCCTAATATCTAACCTAAGCCTCCTCTGCCTCAGTTTAAAACCATTCTCCCTTGTCCTATCACTATCCACCTTTGTAAACAGCCGTTCTCCCTCTTGTTTATACACTCCCTTCAACATAAAGTCTTTTTGAAAGTATGTATTATGAGGTATTCACCATTTTCTCAAATGCCAGTATCAACAGCATTCACTCTTTTATTTCATTCACATTTTATTACTCTCCCTTTAGAAACCTGGCTAGATCCACTCCATAACACATGTAGGCAGTGGGGTAAGCCAGCAATGTAGCGGGCAATGTGATGAGGCAAGGCCAACACTCCAAACTCTCAATGTTTTGGTGACCTAAGAACAGTACCTTTAGCACTAGTATGCCTCAGAGTATAACAGCTTCAGAGCTCCTTAAGAAGAGAGGGGTATTAAATAACTGCTGTATATGCTAAGTCCTTTCAAAAACGTGTGCATGCAATTTCTTGGGATAGCACCAAAGAACCTCCCAGAAGCCCAACACACAGCACACATAATCAATAACATCTCAAAGAGCAAAGAGCTCTTCTTTATCACTGAAGAACTGAACTACTAAAGACAACAATAAAGAAAGATTCCTCATACCTACATGTCTGAAAGACCATCTTTTGACTATATTCAGAGTGCTTTGTCATTTAGAAGCTTTGAACAGCCAGTCCAAAAGCCAAGACTGTTTGCCAGAGGCAAACAGACTCAGATTAAATACTACTCAGAGAAGACAAGCCAATCTTTAGAAATATCATTTGAATCTAATTTGCATTATCACAATATTATGGTCTTTAATCATCAAATCCTAATAAAACTAAGATTTTGCAGTGATGACTGTCTTGTAAACCCTATGAATATTTGAATATAATAAATCTAGCAATTCTTACACTGATCACCGCATTATTACCAGTTTACATACAGTGATAACCATAGGCATCCCCTGATACTTCAGCATGCATACAATGAAGACCTATTTTTGCTTGACAACCTCCAACTTCGTATTGCTTCTCTTTACTTTAGTTCTCACTGACACAAGAAGAGGGGTGCAAGGAGAACTTCTTTAACAAAAGTTGCAAAACCTCACTTAAAACACAGACATAAAGACAGTCACATTACTCTTCATGTAGGAAAGAGCTTTTAAATCCTCTAGCAGGAAATTATTTACAGTGAACACTGTATGTATCATAAATGTCAACTAAAATTAAGAAACACTCAGCTTACTAATGAAGGGTCTTTTTGTTTGCTTGCTTTTAGCTATGTGAGCACTTTTCATAGGTAAAACCAAATTAATAAATTTAAAAATCAAAATAGCTTTTGTTCCAGAGTGCCATTAAATGCAACAAAATTAATAAAATGAAGCTTGAACCCTTACCGCCAGTGCTTTAGATAAGTTTTTTCTATAGTTATTCAAAACAATAGCATCAATGTCCTTCAGTGGCACAAATGCAAATCCATCTTTAATAAACACTCTTCTTGCTCTAAACAGATCAACAGCATCTGACAGTCCAACCTGAGAAAGGGGAAAAAAAAAATAAATAAATAAACCATGAAACAGCAAAAAAGCACAGTAACAATTACTACAACCCTGAGTTTCAAAACAGACCAGTGAGGCTTTAAGTTATTCTGTGTTCTTTAATAAAGCTACAGGCAAAACACAAAGATTCCAAAAGGAAATGCCGACTTCATTTATAAGAAGTCATTTACTTACAGTATCTAATTTCAAGGACATGTAAGCAAGCTAGGCAAAATGAGATACTTCAGAATTTCTAACTATAACAACCTAGCCTGATCACATAGCTTTGAACACTAACTGATTTGATACTTAAAACTAAGCTTCTGTAAACCTTCAATTTCAGACATCTCAAAATTTTTCATTCTTGCAAGCTACATATAAAAGGCCTTGGAAGCAAAGATGGTTGAAATCCATCCATCAGCAGGCAACACTGCACACATCCTACTTTTTGGTAGCAAGCAAGAAGAGAAGAATTTCACACTAAGACAGTTAACCTAAATCTAGTTTTAGATATTTGAGAAAGTCCCCATCCTCACAGACTGTCAGCCAGTTAAGCCAAATGATTTGCCTGGGAGATGTTTAAACTGAAGATCTTTTTCATGACAAGACAAGGGACAACAGAAGCCATTAGTGACAGGTGAAGCTCCCTCCATATTCCCAGTCCCTCCTTCTATCCTCCTACTTACATAATAAAGAGGAACTCTCATTAGTGTCAGTATAATAATAGTAAAACCTTAGAATACTTTTGAAAGAAAAAGAATAAAATGCTGCAAATTTGCATTAATTCCAACTTACCTTATAAAACATTTGCTCTTTTACTTTAGTCATACTGAGGCCAGGAGTTGACATGAACAGCTCATTTGCCAATTCATTTTTCAGGTCTTCACTAATCTAAAATAAATTAGATTTATTTTATAAAGAAATTTATAAAAATAAAAGTTTGTTTAAAAACCTCCAAAATACTTCAGAAATACATTTTTTTTTTAAATAAGCTAGATGACAACTTGGTCTATAAATATGCCAGTGTAATGCTATAATAAGATGAAAAGTAGAATCATAGAACCATAGAATCACTCAGGTTGGAAATGATCTTACCATACCACCCTAACTCTAACAACCCTCTGCTAAATCATGTCCCTGAGCACCACATCCAAACGGTTTTTAAACACATCTTGGGATGGTGACCCAACCACCTCCCTGGGGAGCCTATTCCAGTGCTTCACAACCCTTTCTGTAAAGAGTTACCCCTTACAGAAAACTTACCCTGGCACAACTTGAGGCCATTTCCCCTCGTCCTGTCACCTGTCACCAGTGAGAAGAGACCAGCCCCACCCTCAGCCTGGAGAAGGCTCCAAGAAGACCTTATAGCGGCCTTCCAGTACCTGAAGGGGGCCTACAGAACAGCTAGCGATGGACTTTTTGTAAGGACAGGTAGCGACAGGACAAGAGGAAATAGCTTTAAACTGGAAGAGAGTAGATTTAGACTAGATGTTAGAAAGAAATTATTTTCTGCGAGGGTGATGAGACACTGGAACAGGTTGCCCAGTGAGGCTGTGGATGCCCCCTCCCTGGAGGCATTCAAGGCCAGTCTGGATGGGGCTTGGAGCAACCTGGTCTAGAGGGAGGTCTCCCTGTCTACAGCAGGGGGTGCACCCAGATAATCTTAAAGGTCCCTTCCAACCCAATCCATTGTATGATTCTGCGATTCTATCCATGTTAACTTAGAAACATCACATAGACATTAGGGTCACGCATGACTGAAGAATTAAAGGAAAATTCTTATGAGAAATATGGCAATAAGTTCTCTTCCATTTATAAATAAAAAAAGCCAAATGAATTATACAGAAACTCATTAACAAATGTTAAATTTTAAGCATTTATCTAGATTCACTCATTGGATTAGCAGGATAAGAGTATTTCTGTGTTTGCAGCGGATTTTATGATGTTTATAGCCAAAACAGCAACTAGTAAATGAAATTGCAGTACAATTATTTACTGTAAAAACCATCCTATCAGCTTTCACGATGCTATGCTAAAAGGAACGAAATACACATTCCAAAGTTAGTGTATTCACTGCTATGTGAAGAATAAACTTATCATGGAAACACTTAGACTCTACTACAAAATAAACTTAACGCGTTGATTGTCATTTATTTTCTTCTTGAACAACATATGGATATCATTAGGGGGAAATAATTAATTATATAAGTCCACCCACTATTTCCCAGCTTTCTCTTTTTTTATGCCCCCCCCAAAAATAATGAAAATATTTCAAAAGAGAGGAAAAAGAGAAGACACTTGATGAGACCATCCTCCTGGTCCATAGTAAGTTTCTTCCACAAAAATCTCTAATTATCAATTGCTAAGGACTGAGGATCCACAAGGATGATGTAAGGACTTGCTATTCTTCTATCATTTTCAAGTTATTAGATAAATGGTAGTTCAGTGTCACCTGGTCAACCACAGAATGCTAAAGCATGCTAACACAGTGCCCCAACCATTCCACCACTTCTAAAATCAGCTGAAGACCATCATGTTGAAGGCACCTATTCTCCACTCCGTTTCTGGTAGAGCTGCCATTTCACATCACTTTTAGAAATCCAAGGTTACAGCAGAACATGAAGCAGTTCAGAATACTCTGAAACTCTCACTTTTTTCAGCTTGATCAAGTCTAAATGTTTTTACTCATTAGCTCATTCTTACAGCAGCCGTTCTGCAACTTTTACTTCCAAGTATACATGACCTTTTCAAAGCAGGAAAAGAACATATAATCAAAGCTGCAAGGGTGTGTGTAGTATCCATTACTGAAGAAGTCAATCATAGGTAAGATCTTTACAGTCTGCTTTAATTCAAATGATGAATTGTACAAAGCTATTTAGTAAGAATCATAGTCCTCTACCCTACTAAAAGGGGCACGAGTAGCTTAAATGTACAGTTCACATTTTAGTTTAATTAGCTTTTATTGGTTAAAATTGACTTGTGGAATTATCTTATAATGGCCCATTTGGATTTCTGCAGATGATCAGCATCTGTTGCTAATCAAACTGAGATGATTACTAAATTAAAACTTTTAATCAGCATTTTGCATAATTCACATAAACTGTTGTTCATTATGTTTACGAAGGTGAAAAGGGACATCCCCAGTAGCTGTATGTTATTCAATCACATTCATTCCTTATTTAATTCCACAACTTTACATTACAACACCATATGTTCAAATAAATACACAACTAGAATTACTGCAGCAAAAAGCTTATTTTTAATCATGGAGAAAACTAAGTCATGCTTATAGTTCAAGTGTCCATTAAAGATGGGTAAATAAAGATCTCAGGCCATCCATCCTCTCAGCACATGAAATACTTGCACATTCTCCCCTCCTTCCTTTCAACTATTCCACCTCTCAGATTTATGAGATATACCTGTATTTTACTATGCATCAAGCTTTATTAAAAATTGCTGTAAGAAAACACTGCAATCAGCTCTAAGTCTATTCAAATTTGCATTAAAATGTTTAAAGTTTACTCCATCTCCACATTCCTTATAATGCTAACTCATTAAAAAAACAACCTCACATTGCTTTGAAGTCAGCTCAAACCCTTTAAGATCAGCTAAGAGCAAGGCTTAAAGTCAGTCAATAAAACTGCTTTGAAAATACCATTGCTTCAACACTCCTTTGCAAACAGACCTGCCATTTGGCCTAAGTCCTAGGTCTGCAGTACAAGAGCCTGAACCTCCTACTGGCTGAGCAGGACCCACACTGCCAATTGTTTTGCGGAAAGAGGGCTCCTGGGGACTTTCCCTAATACCTAAGGCCTTTTTCCCCTTGTTAGGGACAATATATAAATATATATAAATATATATATATATATATACTATAATATATATATATATATATAATATATATAATATATATATATATATTTTTTTTTTTTAAGAAACGACCTATTTTCTTTGCAGTGAAGAGGCCACTTGGTTTCACTTGAATGAAATCAAATCCGTCTTTCAAAGCTTGAATGATTAAAAAGAAATCTTTTATTTCCTTTGAAAATAAGTACTTTAGAATAAAAGTAACCTGTTACACTTTAAGTGCTGATAGTATATATTTCATTATGTTCCTTAAAACTCTAGCACTTAAAATCAACTAACCTTCACATAAGCCTTTCCACACAGAATTTATTTCCATTACAACTTTAAGCATACAACCAAGCAGCAGAACACGTATTTTTAGCTTACAATGACAATGAGGCTCTATTTCCCACTTACGTGTCTTCTCTGACCTTTACTGTCATTGTAAGACAAGTACTGTTGGTTGTCAAGCAAACATAAGATTCCAGAGGAGGAAACCAAGATAAAATTCAGAATCACTTTCTTCATAAGTGCAAACTGCAAGCCTCCATGAACACAGTTACTGTTTTACCTTGATGCAAGTTTCCATACAATAAATTTAGCTCTAGGCAGTTTCTGCTTTTAAAAAAGTTTCCCTCACCCTGCTTGGGAAATGAAGAAATGTTAAACTTTGTATGACAGGGGATTCAAATAAACCCAAACAGAAGAACAGTGTGGTTTATACACTTGGCACCAAAGTGAATACTTACAGCCACAACCTTTCAGTGAACAGACACAGTGTTGGGTATTTACTTTCATCTGTGTCTCTTCTTCAGGACACAAACTTGCCCCATTCTCATTAATCCAAAGCTGACTTCAGGATTTTCCATACCTTTTAAAAAGGCAGTCAAAGCATTTTTTCAAGAAGCTACACTACAAATATTTATACAACTGCCCCACCACTGAAATAAACGCTTACTGAAAAAAAAGCATAATAGTTAGATCAGAAAGTCTCTCAAAGGAGTGCTCTGATCATAAAAACGGAAATTAAACTTTAATTTCTAGCACTTAAAGCTGCTAAAAGAGAAAGTATTTTAACTGCAACATCAAAGAAGTGCTACTGTGAAAAAAATTAACTCCACTAATGAATTCTACTTGTTCCTTTTATTTTGCAGTTCATACTGTTCCGTCCCAAATGCTAATAGATGCACAACAGAGCATCAGCTCCCCCAGTTGAATATTCCCATCTGCTGTTCCTTCCCCATGACTATGATACAAAGTATTATATTAAGACAACCTGTTTTATAGCAGCAATAAAAAAAAATTATGATAGTTTATTTTCCAACAACTGGCAGCTACCCAAAAATGATGACATCTAACCTGGAAGCTGTAATATATTTTTTTTAATTTCAAGAGGCTTTTCAGTGGTAAAGACTTTTAAGATAATTTAAATAGGATCTTTTATGCTCTGTGGAGAGGTAACACTAACAGAGAAAAACATATTCAAGAAAAAATATGCTGCACTTTGAAGTTTATCTCTCTGAAATGTGCAGAATAATAAAGAACAGAAGCATTACAGGGAATCCAAATTCAATTATACATCACCTTACACGGCAGACTAAGTCATGATAACTCAATGCTTATTTCTTGTGGAAGCAACAAGGAACTGCGTCTGCTTCAGGAAGAAGCTAACAATCCAAAGACAAGATGGCAAAAGTGTCACAGGAGAACAGATCAATCAAGACAATCAACAAAATGTAAAGCTTTATCCCAAATTTGTATTTCAGTGACATTTTATCCCGTGCTCCAAGATATCAAATTTAATTCCTGGAAAAATATATCAACAAATCAAAGCATCTGATAGCAAAAAAAGCACAGCACACATGGATATCAAAAAAACAACCTGTACTAAGCCAATCTCACTGCCTGACAGTACAACAGACCTCTGGGACAAGAGAAAATTATCTCATATTGTATCAATGAGCCTTCAAAGTCATTCACGTAAGACACCTTCACAAGCAGATAACTAAGCAGTTCAAAGACAGCAGGAGAGCAGTTCAAAAACAGCAGAGACAAAGCTCACTGCTAAAAGTTACAGCAGAAAGCAGGACCCAGCCATAACATCCAGTGATGCCAAACACGTCATTCAGCATCACCTGACAGAAATCAAACCAGCTACTCCTAAATTAAACAACAGAAAACAGCTGCCCACCGCTTGTAGCAAGGAAGAAAAATTCATCTTGCAGTTCACTCCTTCAGTGTCATTTACCTCTGAAGCTGTTAATATACTTTCCCTATGTTGAAAAGCTTTGAGACTAATGTATTTCCTTCCATGATTATAACACTGAAAATACCAGGGTATTTCCCTTTAAATATCTTTAAAATACATTAATGGCTTTCGCTGTCAGAAACTGACATAGCTGTCATTATTCATTTCTAATATGATATTAATGCTTAAATCTCCTAAATTAATGTGAATCTCAAGTGCACACCTGTGTTTGCAAATCCTCTTTGATGGGCTTTGAATGCTTAAATGTCACCACTTAATTCTCCCTGAGAGCTGCATAAGGAAATCCTGTACTCCCTGTGTGACTGACTTTGCACAAAGTCTATTTAACGTGCTTTGAGAGCTGAAAATTACATGCCACAGGTAAAAAGGTCTTTATCTAGTGATAACCAATAACAGCACAGTCCCTTCAAACCTTTATTTTTCTTTCACTTTTTTTTCTTTTTTTAAACATACACAAGGCATAGAATAGACTCAAAGCCCTCTGAACATGTTCAATTTCTTCAATGTCTTTCTATTCACTGGAAAGAAGTTTATATTGACAATATCACTTTGGAGAGTTCAACTAAAACTTACTTTTTGAGAAAACAGAGGCTAAATTCTAAATTGTTTGAGCTCCCAAGCACAACTTTGAGGGTGAAGCTATTAATGAAAGCCATACAAATTACTTTACAGACAGAATCATCTTCAAAATTGAATCAGTTTTGGTTTTAAAGAGATATCACTATCAAAGTTTAAAGTACCTGAAAAGTACAAATCTGAAACCATTGATTTTCTAATGCAGTACCAGCAGCAATAAAGCTGTTTAGTTTAAAGCTGTTGGTATTGCATTAGAAGGTAAATGAAGATAATAAATTAAGATAGTTACATGGCCAGATACCACCAAGTAGACTTCTCTCTTATTACTTGCAGTCAAATAACTAACTGGAAAAGTGTCAGTTTTTAAAGGCTCCAGTAGGGTCTCCATCAAAATAATCATCTACAGAAGAATTTAAAATAAAATTAATTAAAATACACAAAAGTTGCAACAAGGGAATCATATGAGGCCGCCATTTTATACCATGGTTCAAATATAACTAACAGCTCACCACCACCAAAAAACAGTGAGAATGAGGTCCATCACTCCTGCTCACCCACTTGTATTCCTGCTTTGCATTTACACTCTTCCTTTCTTGACATTTCAGTCAGTACCATAAGTACTACCTCCTGCACATGATGGAATAAGGAGGTGGGATGACATTTCAGAGCACTGAGTGTTAAATCATTAGATTGTTGAGTACTGAAAGCATTCCAGTTGGGTGAGCAACTTCAGTCCAAGCATCTTCTACACCTACCAAAAATTCAGACTGGCCAAAGCTATTTCCAACAACTGATTACAACACAGTCTGTAAGCAGTTCAAAAAGAGCATCTCAAGGATGCATTCAAATCAAGCTTGCAGTTTTTTGAGAATGCCCAAGTCCCAGTGGCTTCTTACACAAATACTGAAGTTAAATGCACTGAGTAGCAGCAGGAACTGTTTTGTAAATCATCTCAAAAACTTCAGGTTTCGGTCTACACAGTTTTGGTATTTCCAAAGGTTTTCACTAAGTTGGCTAAGAACTGCAGTGAGTTTAAATCAAAAGGGAAAAAACCTTTGAAGCCAATTGTAAGGAGAACACAACTGTGGAGTAAGAGTATTTACAGAATTTTGGAAGCCAGTTATATTCTCCATAGCATGTACTCAGTGGGTGAAATTCAAATTGCTTCTTAAATAAAAAGATAAAACATTGGCTGTATTTAAAACATTTGCATACAACTGGACATTTGTACAGAAAGGAAGTTGGTGGTTGGTGGCCCTGCCTGTGGCAGAGGAGTTGGAACTTGATGATCCTTGGGGTCCCTTCCAATCCAAGCCATTCTATGATTCTTTCATTCTGTGAAATTAACACAAAATGAACCTCTCCAAAGTTTACAAAATAGGGTGGAAACAGAAGGAACCAAGGACAGAAAAAGTTACATTTCATCCTATAGCTAGGTAGCAACAAAGAACAGCTGGAGTGGGTCCAAAGGAGAGTCAGGGGACTGGAGCACCTCCCCTACAAAGACAGGCTGAGGGAGCTGGGCTTGTTCAGCATGGAGAAAAGAAGGCTGCAGAGTGAAAGATGTTGCAACCTTTCAATACCTAAAGGCAGCCTACAAACAGAAAGGGAATCAACTCTTTGAAAGGGTTGACAACAGCAGGACAAGGGGAAATGGTTGGAAGTTGAGGGAGGGAAGATTTAGGTTGGATGTCAGGGGGAAGTTCTTCATAGAGAGAGTGGTGAGGTGCTGGAACAGCTGCCCAGAGAGGTTGTGGATGCCTCGTCCCTGGAGGTGTTCAAGGCCAGATTGGATGGGGACCTGGGCAGCCTGGTCCAGTGTTAAATGGAGAAGTTGGTGGCCCTGCATACGGTGGGGGGTTGGAGCTTCATGATCCTTGAGGTCCCTTCCAACTCTGTCCACTCTGTGATTCTGTGAACAGGTTACCAAGTTCCCAGCACCAAGAGGAATAACTGTATGCAAGTTAGACCCTCAAGTTTCATCACTTGCTAAAATATTTGGATCATACGAACATTAAGTCCTATAATTTACATTTATGCGTGGGTATAATGTTTGTGTAGTGCTAAAGCTTACTTAACTGGATATTATTACTACTTGTTTTTAAATTATACACAAATTCTTCAACTACTGCATGTAATACTAGCTTTTTAAACTAAATGATAGCTTTGGTTACGCATCTGTACCTTCAGCAAGTTCCATAACATGCGCAAACAAGCAGAATCCGACTGATTTTAGCATGCTTAAACACACAACCATGTATACAGATACACTTGCAAAACAGAAGCCTATTATTTTCACCCACATTGAGGATTGCACAGTAAGTTACATTCCTGAAGAATTTCATAAGTTCATTCTTTCATTTTAATGTTCTTAAGAGTTAAATACTCTTTGAATCTGGGTTCTATGATACCACCTATAACCTTTTGGAAATACTGTTTGTTAATTTGCTTTCGTAATTATAGTTTTCAATTAAGTGTTGGTTGATGAAGTAGACCACAGTTTCTCTTATTCCAGCACCAAATTACACCCCATTGAACCCTCATTTCTGCAAGTTCAGAACAACAATTTAACAACAATTCTCCAAGTTCAGGAGTTCTGTGTGTTTTGGGTCTTTTTCACTGTACACATTTCATGTTTAAAACAGAAGTATTAAAACTACCTTAATGACAATTTTAAAAAGCATCAGGCATACCCTACATGATACAGATCCAGAAAGTAACACACTTACAGCTTCAAATGATAAGTTAACATGATCCAAGAATTTCTGCCTCAGGCTGTCAGTCAGTTCGTGGAAGCGATATCGAAACAGATCCATTTCTTGTTGAAGAAACCAACGTCTGAGTTCCTCACTGCAGAGAAAATATAATTTAAACAATCATGTTTTCTGATTATGCATTCTCTCACCATAGATGAGAGATGATGTAGATGTCCAACAGTGTGAACACAACTTGAAATGCAAGTATGACTTCGTCATGGAACCCACAAACTAACAAGTTTGGAAAAGAAGGCAAATAACCGACAGAACAGAGAGGTTAAATAAGAAAGGATACTGTAAAAACAGTGCTCTACATTAAGCAAAAAACACACTGGAATCAGCCTAGGAAAAAAATGTGTACTTCACTGAGGTTCAGTACCATATAAATACAACATCTAACACATGACAAAAGAAAAAACAGAGTTTAGCAGCTGCAGGTGAGCAAGGAGAACCACAAACAAGAACACAAGGACAAAATATCTACTCAAAATATAGGTTGGAAATGTAAGTAGCTCTTATTCCAATTACAGTTTCAGACAGAAAGGCACCCCTGCACCCCTGGGTGGCACTGTTGGACTGCTAGAAACAGGTGGTGCAGCAGAACGGGCCTGTCAACACCCCCTCTGCCAAGCCACAGGGAACTGAAATCAAGCAACTTTGCAGCTGTGTTAAGCACACTTTTCAAAGACTGCTATCTTAGCAGCTTTCACCACCTAATGTAACAATTTGTGCCAGGCTCATTTTTTCTGACCTAATACAATAAAATCGTGCAGAACTAGGTATTTATTCTTTTTGACTCACAGATTTATCTTTTGGGGAACATCTGGCTTTAGAACATAAGAACATTCCAGAGACAGCCACTACTCAAGAGAGAACACACATTTTGTACTTGCTAGTTTTAACTATAAAACAGGATTTTAATGGCAAGGAGTCGGGATGATGCACAACAAAGCTGCTAATAGACATAAAGCACTGACAACCTCTGTAACTTCATCCAGAGCCTATAGCAGAAACTGAAGGAAAGCACTTGGCAGGACAAACTACCTTTAATGCCTTAGATTTCACATAAATCAATAAATAAATATCAATTACTTTAGAAGAAAATAATAGTGAAGAAAACCTCAGATTCAGTATTTTTAGTTTCTGAGAAATAAGGCTTTCTTTAGACAGTACTGTAAAGTTTATTCACAGAATCAGATTATTCTCTTCATTTGGTCAGTAAGCAACAGCTGATAGAGCAGTTCACTTAAATTTTCTGTAATTGGGTAAATCAATGACAAAACCTTTTGATTTCTTTCTTGAAAATAAAGAAAGAGACTTACATCAATGCTCCATGCATAAAATCAACAGTTTCTACATTACAAAGTTTTAAAAACTACATAATCTTAGACATTAATTTTGATCCTGAATATCTCTTAACATCTCAGTTGAAATTAGCTTTCCAGAGAAGCCCCTACTTGAACCTACCCTTATGTTTAGTAGCCATACAGCCCTACACAAACTATAATAACACGTATATACATACACACACTTAAACTTACTAATAAGACCAAAGAATAATCCAAAAAGTACTTACGACTGACAGTAAGCAAGGCGCAATATGAAATGAGAAATATGATCCTTCCTTCTTGCATCATAATCATCCTCAGCCAAAGCCTACAGAAAAATTTATTATTTCAGAGATCTGATCCTCCCAGGATTAGAAATCCACAGTTCATTCGCCTCTGCTGTTTCACATCACATTAATATTTACATCTATAACCACAAACACAGAACTATTAAAGAAGACGACTGCCCAAAAGAAAGAAATGTGTATTCTTAAAGACAAATCCTGTCAAACTGCCAGAATTCAAGCTTTAGGAATAGTAATCTGTGCAGAATTTCTGAACTGTGTACAGAAAATAGCGTGTGAAAGAAGTAGTTCCTTGTTTTCATTTATACTTACTCTGTAGGGAAACTTAAGTTTCCGGAGCTCAGTCTCCAGCTTAGTTTTGTACGCATCACCACTTTTTACATAGCTCACACCAAGGTTTTCAACTACCTTGAGCACTGAGAAGAGAAAAAAAAAATAGTCCGTATAGTTACAACACAGTTGTACTCCATAGAGTCACAGTATGCAGGTAGTGACAGGATGAGGGGAAATGGCTTTAAACTGGAAGAGGGTAGATTTAGACTAGATATTAGGAAGAAATTCTTCACTGTGAGAGAGGTGAGACACTGGAACAGGTTGCCCAGTGAGGCTGTGTATTCCCCCTTCCTGGAAGCATTCAGTGCTAAGTTAGATGGGGCTTTGAGCAACCTGCTGTAGAGGGAGGCCTATTGCAGGGAGTTGGAACTAGATGACCTTAAGTGTCCCTTCCAACTCAAACTGTTCTATGATTCTATGATAACATACTGAGAAGAAATCTAACTCTATCATGATTCGAAAAAAGGACTCAATAAAGGCCATGCAAACTCCTGTTAGCAGCATGGGAGCAAAAGGGTAAGAAGACAGGAGGACAAAGCATGGCCCAGTTCATCCTATCGTAGAATCATTAAGGTTAGAAGAGAACATCTAGTCCAACCACTGACCCATCACCACCACTCCTACTATGTCCCTCAAACCCAACAGCGCATCCAGTCTTGAAATCCAGAAAGGGCACAGAGCAGGGAGACACCCAACCAGGAGATCAGCCCTAGAGTTGCACTGCAGTGGCAGAAACCTGCATTCTGTGGCTCTCTGGGGGCACTGCTCCTGGCCATGACCTCAGCGCCTGCACAGAGAAACACCCAACCAAGATATCCAGAGACACTAAAACACCCTCGTGAAAAACAAGACTATAACCCAAACCCACACAATTCTGACTGAAGTGTGAAATCACTCAGAGCTCCTTGAAATAGCTAAAAGCTCTCCTTTAACAGGCCTTCATTATAACATGAGTAAGCTGCTAACTTAAATCAGCAACAGGCAGAGGGGCACCTAGGCCAGTCCAGAACACACTCCACTAGAAGAATCAAAGCTCCGAGATGTCTGGACTGGAATACAATTAGGCGGGCTCCTAGGCCGAGGGCTGCAGCACACTACTCACGCCTCAGGCGGTCCACGGCGAAGCTCTCGAACTCGACCAGCGAGATGCTCTCGGTGGGGGGCTCCTGGTAGAACTGCAGGCTGTGGGGGTACGGCTCCCGCCTGTCCCCCGCCAGCCTCAGGTGCCGCTGCCGCGCTCTGCTGCTGAACTCCATCTGCCGACAGGGGTGCGGAAAAGAGAGAGGGGTGAGGTGGGCCGAAGGGTCACACGAGACCCCGCCAGCCCCAAGCCGACATCCCGACCCGTCCCCGCGCACCGGCAGCTCTCCCGCTTCCCGCGCAGCAGTCGCCCCGCCTACTTCCGGCTCGCTTACTTCCGCCCTCTGGTGCCCCGCCCCCAGGCACGCCTCCCTGCCCTGCCCCGCTTTTGCCCACAAAAAACATGGCGACTGCGTTTACAGGCGGACGTGTCGTCTGTGGGCTCTCTAGCCGCGGAAGGAACTCTATGGTAGTTACCAGTGCCTGCAGAGGGAAGGCTGAACCTGCAGTCCCCGAGGCTGCAGTGAGGCACAGCAAGGCGTAGACCTTGGCCTGATTGAACTTCGTGAGGTTCTCTCTTAAGCCCATCGTGGTCCCTCTGGATGCCATCCCTTCAGTGTGTCAGCTGCACCGCTCAGCTTGGTGTCATCGTCAGTACTGATCCCAGTACTGACTCCCAAGGACACCACTCATCACTGGTCTCAGCCCGGATCACAGAATCACAGAATTGTAGGGGTTGGAAGGGACCTCCAGAGATCATCGAGTCCAACCTCCCTGCCAAAGCAGGTTCCCTACAGCAGGTCGCACAGGTCGGCATCCAGGCAGGTCTTGAACATCTCCAGAGAAGGAGACTCCACCACCTCCCTGGGCAGCCTGTTCCAGTGCTCCGTCACCTCACTGTAAAGAAGTTCTTGCGCACATTGGTGCAGAACTTCCTATGCTGCAGTTTCCAGCCGTTTCCCCTTGTCCTGTCTCCACTCACCACTGAAAACAGTCTGGCCTCGCCATTCTGCCCCCCACACCTTAGATATTTATAGACCTGGATCAGGTCCCCTCTCAGTCTTCTTTTCTCAAGGCTGAACAGACCCAGTTCACTCAGCCTTTCCTCATAGGAGAGATGCTCCAGGCCCTTCACTTTGTGGCCCTCCGCTGGACTCTTTGCAAGAGATCCCTGTCTTTTTTGTACTGGGGAGCCCAGAACTGGACACAGTACTCCAGATGAGGTCTTACCAGGGCAGAGTAGAGGGGGAGGATCACCTCCCTCGACCTGCTGGACACGCTCTTTTTAATGCACCCCAGGATGCCATTGGCCTTTTTGGCCACAAGGGCACACTGCTGGCTCATGGCCAACCTGTTGTTCACCAGGACACCCAGGTCCCTTTCCGCAGAGCTCCCCTCCAGCAGCTCATCCCCCAACCTGTACTGGTGCATGGAATTATTCCTCCCCAGATGCAAGACTCTACACTTGCTTTTGTTAAACCTCATCCGGTTTTTTTCTGCCCAGCTCTCCAGCCTGTCCAGGTCTCGCTGAATGGCAGCACAGCCTTCAGGCGTGTCAGCCAATCCTCCCAACTTCGTATCATCAGCAAACTTGCTGAGGGTGGCCACTATCCCCTCATCAAGGTCATTGATGAAGATGTTGAACAGGACCGGACCCAGCACAGACCCCTGAGGAACACCGCTGGTTACAGGCCTCCAGCCAGACTCTGCACCGCCAACAACGACCCTCTGCGCTAATTGAGCCGGATGTTGAGCCGTTAATGGCAGCTCTTTGAATGTGATCATCTAGCCAATTCCAACTAGTGTTGGAAACAACCAACCAAATAGAAGTTGGTGGATTGTCTTGTGAGAAATTCAGATTGCTCACGGATGGACAGTCAGAACTGGCAATGAGGTTATAGCCACAAAGTGAGGAAAATCAGTGTCTCAGGCTAGCAACCCACTCTTGAAAACAAGGTGGCCACATCATACAAATTGCTCCAGAGAGTAATTGCTGTGCTCATGCTACCCAGAATGAAGTGTGCCACTTGCTCTGAGCCAGGCCTCTGCCAGGGATCATTTGGACAGTTTGAACAGATCCAGGTCTGTTCTCCAAGAGAGAAGAAAAAAATAAAAATAAAAAAAAGGCTATTTTTCTATATATTTAACTCAAAACATCTTTACTCTAATAGCCAGCATTCATATCTCCTTTACCCCCCTCCGCCCCTTTCTCTGTATGCCACAAGTGTTGCTCTGGAGTAAGAGTGAATCTGCCGAAATCCATCCAGACATTGCAAGAAGGCAAAAGGTTTTATTTCTGTCTGATCACTGCATTGTTTGATACCCAAGAGCTGTTGTTCAAACTGTCAGTGCACAGTCCAGGACAAAATCCAAGGAGAAAAATGAAGAGTTTGCACATTTTTCTGAGTGCTGTACATGACCAGGACAGCAGGGGGAAAGTTTAACAATGCTGAGAGACCCTCTGCAGAAACCAGCAGTGTTTTTAGTTTTAATTTTAAATGATGTTTTAGCATTTGGCATGTAGGCAGTGGTACCACCATCTACACTGTCTGTCACTATTTTTTCTACTGAGCCATGTCCTGCTGCGCTTTATAAGTCAGCAGTTACATCTGTGCCTGCTGTTTTTTACCTTTGTTGTTGTTGTTGCATTACTCTTTTTTTTTTTCCCCCATCTGTTGCTGAGTGCTGATCCTCAGTTGTCTGAAGTTAGGTAAAAATGTAACCTGCTTCTTTAAAAAAAAAAAAAAATCACTTAACTGTTTTGCAGCATATTGTCATAATATTAAGCATCTCTATTACTAGACTCGAATAAATCTTGTGAGGGTATTGCTAGCTCCTTCACACAGAAATCCTTTTCTTGGGAAAAGGAAGCAAACAAGGAAAAATATCTCACCCTGGGGGAAAACTCCCCAAACCGCTCTTCAATAGGTGTCATAACCCAAACTTTCCTACTGACTTTTTATCAAAACCTATACACACTGACAGTTCTCACAATTACCTTTTACTTACTTTTTTTACAATTCTATTGTCATCATTTCCACAGCAACGTTGCCAGTAGACTCTGATTTTGGAAATGTTTTTTAACAGAATCACTGCTGTTCCAACTACCCACCTCACAAATGTTTTACAACATCCATACGGCCAGCTGTCAAACTGTCCCCACCACCCCAACCAAACACAGTCCGATCCAGCATACCTCAAACACCTAACGTTGTGCTACCTAATTAACAGAAAAACAAAGCCCTTATTTTGCAGTAAACACAATTGCACATTATCTACTCACCTGTTGTTGTAGTGATTAGCAGTGTCCACAGCAGTGCTAATTCTTTGGAGCCCAGTTTTTTTGTACTTGCATAACTACAGCTGTTAAATAGAAGGTAAATATGCCGTTGTCTCTTTTTCAAGCTACCCCATGTTCTCACTATGTCCAGGATGCTTGGAGATCTGAGGATAGCAGAGCTTAGCATAGAATGTCCCTTCTCTGCTCCTGGGTCACTTTCAGCTCTTTCGGTTAATTTATGCTTAATCTTATCTACAGCTTCTACCATCAGCCTGACTGAATTCTCGTATAATATAGTCACTATACATATTGTTCTCATAACTTGTTTTCTTGATGTTTCAGTTTCTACAAATATTGTTTGAATATTTTTTAAAGTTGTTGCTTACTGAGTCCTCAGATTTCTCTATCACGTAACTCAGTTCCTTTAGTGACCTGGCTTTCCCAGACACCTTAACAGCCTTATTGCAGGAGTGTATCTCTGTCTTTACTGGCCCACCCACTCTTTGTGTGACTGTTCTGCAGTAACTTTTCTGCTTCATGCTTTTTATTACTTTTTTGAGTACTTGCCGTTCAGTTTATACTGAGGTTTTTTTCCTGACTGTGATAAGCAGATACCTTTGTGTTAACTATAAATGAATGGCAAATGTTCTGAGCTGGCCTTTAAATTCCTTTGGTTTCCAAAGCGAGCAAGGCATGAATCATGCACTGAAGAAAGGCTCAGAGGGCTATTTTGGTCAGAATACACTCTCGGTCTCCCAGCATTAATATATTTAAGTAGAGGTAATGATGGTTACATCCCTTATGACATTCTAAGTCACTTATCAGGGCTTTTGGATTAAGAATTATGTCCCCATATTGCCTGTCCAAAACTCTAGTACATAGGTGGAGGAAATCTAGATATGTCTTACAGTCATCTTAAATTTATCCTGACAGGTCTTCTCACTACATGCATCTTCAGAACACTTAGGTTGCTGTGGTGAACAGGCTTACCAGCCCTATGTTCTGTTATATATCTTATTTTCAATCCCTTAGCATCATTTTTCAGAGTACTTCTCAAGGAAGGATCTGTCCTGCCCCTGTGTAAGGCTTTTCTGAAAGCAGCCATTCTTATGCAGTGTTACAAGATGGTCATATGCTTTAAATATTTTTGGCTGATATTCCGGGGCTTTGGGGTCTGTTTTGTTGTGGGTTTTCTTCCTCTGACAATTCTTGACTATATGATTAATGTTAGAGAGAGGCTGAAGTATCAAAGATAGGACGTTCCCAAAAATCAGAGAAATCAGAGCCTGGAAAAAAGGAGAGAGAGACTGAAATTCCTACCATGTGAAAGATCAGCAGAACTCAGCTACTTTCCTGTGCAGAGCAGCAGTGACCAAGCAGTTAACACAAACATCCTGTCCAACCACCACAAATACAGCTTCAGCTCATCCGCTGCATAGTTGTTCCTAAACAAACAGACAAGAAGATTTGAAAAATAAAGCATCAGATCTTAGAAAGCAGATTAATTTGTAGACTGAGTGTATTCTGCTGCACATGGATCTCCTCCTTTCTTTTCCAAGCGTAACTCACCATATCTAAATGTGAGCTTCTGAGATTTGGAAACCAGTTTTTCAGTCTGCCTACCTGTATAGATACTGACATTTTCCTTTCTTGGAAATTGTTACCACTGAACTAATCTACAAGAAGAAAATGCATTTGTTACATGTAACACATTTGCTGCTTTTCTAATATGCTTTCAAGATTAATCCATTTTGTACCTGTACAGTAGTAAATAATGGGATTCTCTCTTATCAAGTAATATGTAAGTATTTGAAAAATGTCATTAATTCCAAAAATACTGCTACCCAAAATAAAATAATACCACATGAAACCTAGTCATGTGTATGTATCCAAGAT